GTGGGACAGGACAAATGGCCATCGGTCCAAATGAAATCAAATGAGGAGGTAAATGAAGTAGGCAGGTGCCAGATGATGCAGGGACTTGAGGGTCACCTTAGGAATTAGACTTTATGGTAAGGTACCTTACCAAAACTAAAGTTTTCAGTGAGGTATCAGATCATTTATAAAGATCATTTCCATTTCTGTGTGGGGAAATACAGTTATAGTTAACACTTCTGAATTGTTTTCTAAAGGTCAGGCACCATGTTAAGGTCCTTTGCGAATATTAACTCATTTAATCCACAGCTACTCTGTCAGATAGGTATTATTATTGCTCCCATTTTACAGATGCAGAAACAGGCACAAAAGGACAAGTGACTTGCCCAAAGTTACGCAACTTGTAAGTGACAGAGCCAGATTCCAACCCAAGCAAACTGACCCTACCATCCACACTGGCCACTTTGTTATACTGCGACCAAATGTGTTGATTTGGATTAAGATGGTAAAAATGGCTGTAACGACACACGGAGGGATTTGATCAGGAAACATGGTGATGCACTAGGATAGTGAAAGAGTAAGTTGGAAGAGTCATGGATGAAGCTAGGGCTTACATATGGCTACCCAAAAGAATAGAGTTGCACTGTTTACTGGGAGATCATGAGTTCAGAAGGTGTTAGATAAGGAGGTGAAGAAATCCATTGTAAATTAATTGAATTTATGGAGCTTCTGAGACCACTAATGGTGGGTAGTCACATATACAAGTCTGAAGAGGACTCCAGACAACCCTACGGAAGGACGGAATCCCTGCTTATTACTTTCGATCATACCATATTTTATACTATTCCTTTGTAGTTATGACAATTGCACTGTTTACTGGGAGATCATGAGTTCAGAAGGTGTTAGATAAGGTGAAGAGGTCCATTGTAAATTAATTGAATTTGTGGAGCGACTCCAGACAACCCTAAGGAAGGAAGGAATCCCTGCTTATTACTTTCAATCATACCACATTTTATACTATTCCTTCGTAGTTATGACCAAAAAATGAAAGGACGAGATTTAAAGAGAGGATAATCAAAGTTAAAAGTTGGAAAACTTAGCCAGGTTGGTGTGGCTCAATGGCTGAGCATGGAGCTATGAACCAGGATGTCATGGTTCAATTCCGGGTCAGGGCACATGTGCGGGTTTCCAGTAGGGTTTGGTTCCTAGTAGGGGGCATGGAGGAGACAGCCAGTCAATTATTCTCTAACATTATTGATATTTCTATCTCTCTCCCTCTTCCTTCCTCTCTGAAATCAATTAAAAAAATTTTTTTTAAGTTGGAAAAGTTAAACAAGCTCACTTAAATTTTCATGGATTCTTTTGACTCACATTAAAAGTCGGGGGGGGGGGCAACAGAAATATATGTGTATGAGAAAAACAATGCCTGAAATGAAAACCCCTGAGTTCTAAGAGCAAAAAGAGACAAATAACGTGGATAGGGGACCCAGGCTGGGAATATGGTCTCCTGGGGGAAAAGAAACAGTAGTTGGACCGGTCACTTGTGCAAGCCTGGGTCTCACCTTAGTTTACTGATAGCACTAAAAACTTAGCCCAGGATAATTTTTCTAAATTATGATTAAGACACGCAGTTCCCATTTAGTTAAGTAAAATTTTGTGAACTCCATAAATAATAATTCCATACGCCCTTAGAATTATAAGTGGGTTTGTAATGATTGGATTGGGTTTAAAAAAGAATCCATCTGATGGAAAGCATTAAGGCAAGACATGTATTTATAGCTGTACTCCAGCCATTTCTGGCTCCAACCTGAAAATTCCAATTAAGAATGAAGAAAATGTGAGGCATAGTAATCCATATGATTAAATGCGTTTTGAAAACTGGGCTAATTGTATCCATCTTTCAGCATTGTTTGAATGAAAAGAAACAAGGGATATCAAGCACAGTGCCTGACACCCAACAGAAATGTCAGTTTTCTTCAAAGTGGTAATCTACAATATTTTAACTGCTGTGAATTTATGCTGGCATAGCAATTTTATATACATGTAAAAACTATTTAGACTAAATAATATGGTGTGCTAATATTAAAGAATTGGCCAAAGGGTCATTCTCATAACTTAAAAAAAAAAAGGGCAGGATAAGTAGACATATGTACTTTTCAGATGTACATAAGATCATAGAATACCTAGTAAATGTTCCTCACTGTATAGATGGGGAAACTGAAGCCCGCAAAGGATTAGGTTGTCCAAAGTTCTATCCCTGGCTAATGGCAGAACCTATTAGAACAGGAACACTTGATTTCCGAGATTCCTTCTTTCTAATTAAATTGAGAATTCAAATGTACTATATTGGTTAATAAGAATTTGGAAAGCAAATAGAGGGTACTTTATTTCTTATCATGTTAAAACTGCTCAGATTAATCTTCTGAAAGAATCTGTTGGCTAACATGATGCTTCTCCTCTTAGCTTCTTGATACTGGATATTCCTATTCAAGTAAATATGACTCAGGAAAATCTCACAGTTGAGTGATGAAACAAATTTTAAAATATAATTCTTCAAACAAATCTTTTATGGAAATAATCTCAGGAAACTATAAGTTGTAAATGGTGCAAAAGAGTTTATAGAAAGTATAAAGATGTACTAGTACAGGGGAAGAGAGGAAGAGAAAGAATGAGGGGGGAAGAAAAATGAAACAATCATTGCTAATACACGATGCAGTCTACTGCAAAGCGGTAAATTATGAAAAAAGCCTGGGAAGTATAAAGAACAGCAGAAAATAGCCAAGGCAGAAACAAAAATACATTAAAAATAGGTGACTGAAAAGGGGTTATGTCTAGAAGAAAGAATGAATGGGAAAACAATCCAGCAGTTTCTTAAAATGTTGAACAATTACCATTGAGTAAGCAAATCCACTCCTAGGTATATACCCAAAAGAAATGAAAACATAAGTCTATCCCAAAACTTCTAAACAATTGTTCACAGCAGCATTATTCATAAAAAGCAAACAGTGAAAACAACCCTAATGTTCATTAACTATTGAATGGATAAAGAAACTGTGGCATTCACACAATGGAACATTATCCAGCCATAAAAAGGGATCAGGTACTGATGTAAGCTATCACATGGATGAAACTTAAAAATTAAGTCAAAAGGCCAGTCACAAAAGACCATATATTATATGATTCCATTTATATGAAATGTTCATAATAGGAGAATCAATAGACAGATTAGTGTTAATGTAAGGTAAAGGAGAAATGGAAAGGTTGTGGGGCGATAGCTCAAGGAACGTAACACTGGTAAATTTGATGTTTAAAATTTTCTAAACTCTGTGGCAAACATTGATTTCCTCAATTATATGTTTGACACGGTAAAATTCCCATTGCATTGGATACTAGCATAACTATAGTTATGACTAATTCATTTTTGTATGTTCTGCAGCACTATACACAATAGGCACTCAGTAAATATTTGATGACTGAAGCTAGACATCATAGCCAGAACTTGAGGTTCTATAATTATGTAACATAACCGAGGCCAAATTTTAGCCATTAAAACAAAAGGCAGATTATACCACATCTGAAATATTTTAATGGATCTTAAGTGAATGTTTTAATTTAGTTAACAACTAAAATATATACAAGCATAATTCCATAATCCTATATAATAAAAGCCTAGGTGGCGTCACATGTGATGCCTTTGCGTGACTTCGTCACAAGATGGCCACCATAAGATGGCCGGCAGGGGAGGGCAGTTGGGGATGATCGGGCTGGTAGGAGAGGGCAGTTGGGGGCAACTGGGTCTGCAGGGGAGGGCAGTTAGGGTGATCGGGCCGGCAGGGGAGGGCAGTTGGGGATGATCGGACTGGTAGGAGAGGGCAGTTGGGGGCAACTGGGTCTGCAGGGGAGGGCAGTTGGGGGTGATCAGGCTGGCAAGGGAGGGAAGTTGGGGCAATTGGGCCAGCAGGGGAGCAATTAGATGTCAATTAGGGTGGCAAGGAGTGGTTAGGGGCGATCAGGCAGGCAGGCAGGCGAGCGGTTAGGCGCCAGCAGTCCCGGATTGTGAGAGGGATGTCCGACTGCTGGCTTAGGCTCGACAGTCGGACATCCCTCAAGGGGTTCCAGATTGGAGAGGGTGCAGGCTGGGCTGAGGGACACCCCCATCCCGTGCATGAATTTCATGCACCAGGCCTCTAGTGCAATATGAAAATAAAGAGACATATCAGAAAGGTAAGGACATTTTGAGAAATAAGAAAATGCAACTTTATTCATAATATGTACACCACAAAACAGACATTTTACATTATTTTGCTAACTTCAAAATTTACATTCTGTTTTTCAATTAAATTTTTCATGACAGATGTTGAGTGCCTGACAATATCAATAAGTAGCCCAGCTACATGATACAATTGTTTTTAGCATTTAAATTTAAAAGACTTGGAGCTCCAATGGCGCAATCGGTTAGCACGTGGTACTTATAAATTTAAAAGACTGGCTCAGTGTTTAAAAAATAAATTAAATAATAAAAGAGAAACACTATTAGGAGAAAAATGCAAGTACATTCACCACATAATAAAAAAAAAACCACCCCTTCAAAACCAGAAAACAACCTGAGCATTATTTCACTTAACTACCCAGAAGCATGTAATACCAACGTACAAATAAAGTAAAACCTATAGCCTGGAATGATACAGTGGCTATCACTAATTAGCTCCTATTTGAGATGAATGGAATAGAAAATTAAAAAAAACTTGTTTTTAGCTTAATTGTTGGTGCAGAATGAACAGCAGGGGCTGGCTGCCTGGTAGCTGCTTTAGCTTTGCTGGCTTGGCTTGCTCGAACAGCAGTTTCCAAACGTACTTTCAACTCAGGAGCCGCTCCCATTACTGTCTTGAAAGCATGTGGATACAGAGGTCCAATATGCATTAAATTCTGGAGTGCAAACTCATGCAGATCTTTGGAGGCTGTGTTTGCTGAAGCAAAAGCATTTTCATCCAGCAGGTAAGAAATCAAAGTGGGAACTAAAAGAGCAAGTAACTGGACTCCTGCAAATAATAAAGTTAGTCTGAAGATGATTACGAATCTGAAAATTACAGTAAACTTCATTTTTAAAACTAGACACAGTAGTCTGAATTATAATAAAATATAAGTAAACATGTAAAACCTACTTTAGACCTCAATAACTCACACTTAATATTAATATTTACTAAATGCCCAAGTTATACCAGGACTGGAAACCAGGCCTGTTAAGACTGTACATTTTACATATATAGTTACCTTTCACCTTTAGTTTATCTTTGGTAAATATTTACCATTTACCTTTGGGTTTTGCATAGCATTAGCCTTAGATTTAGTTTTACTGTTGCAATGATCTGTGTCTAATATTAAATAAGATACACACACACACACACACACACGCACACACAATCTTCATTTTAGACTAGTGGCTTTTATAAGAAAATACTTACTGTTCTGTTCTTCCCCAAGAGCAACCAGTGTTTCAAGAACTTTGATTCCTTCTTGAACAGCTAAAAGTTCTGTGTTACTGGCTGGTCTGTTTCTTTCAACAGCTTTTAGCTTTTCAACTACTATTGGAGCTAATGAATGGATGTAGGGAGTTGAAAGGGCACGATTGGAATGTTGAAAGACTGAGAGGAGAAGCTGGTAACATTTGGCTTGAACCTATATAAGAAAACCATTGTATTACTTAACATGTGTGATAGTTCTTATTTACTGTACAATCACATCGCATCTTTTTTTTTTTTAATCCTGACCCGAGGACACTTTTTTTTTAGAGAAAGAGGGAAGAAGAGAGAAAGAGAGTGAAACATCAATGTGAGAGAGAAACATCGACTGGTTGCCTCTTGTACTGCCCTGACCAGGAATTCAAACCCACAACCTTATGGTGTAGGGGATGATGCTCCAACCAACTGGGCCACCTGGCTAGGGCACGTTGCATCTTAATATATACTGAAAACATGTGACAGTGCAGAATGAAAATAGAAATGCAGGACAAATTAATGCCCTTTTTTACTTACAGAAATGAAGTAGAATAATGAAACTTCTAATATGCCAACTAAATAAAAGTAACTGAAAATAAATTAATCAAATAAATATTACTTATAGTCTAATTGCCAAATTACCATGCTTATATAATTTGTATATTTCCATAGTTTGGAAGAAGCTAGTAACCAGAAATTTTAATTTCTGCTTTTAATTCTTCTTTATTTTATAATCATTCCTCCTACATTAACCTATTTAACAGGAAGGCTAATAACTGAATGACGTCAAGCAAAGCTATAAAAATATATTGCTCAGACACCTCAAATCCATTTGAATTCCCTAGAAATGACTGCTTATGCCAATTTAAGTTTCTAGGCCTGGGAAGTAAGGTCTCAATGGCTCCATTTTAGATTAGAAAGACTTTAGATTAATTAAAAAAAAAAAAAAGGAAGAAAGGAAGGTCCATTAACATCTGGGACAAACAGTGGAATCAAACTGTTTCAGCACTTTGCTCGAAGAGAAGTTGCCAAACCTTGCTGGAAATAAATACCCGGGGGATGTTTTAAAAATACAGATCTCTGATTCAGGAACATAGCAGTAAGTCTAGGATCATGTTACTAAACTGATTTTTTTGGATGTGTAACAGGTTTGAGAAACATTAGTTTAGACTTTAACATTGTGAAACAATAAAACTTACTTTCTGGAAAAACTGAAGTTTCCAATTGGTTCATTAAAATATGTAATAAAATAAATATCTTTTAATGCCCTTGGTATCATTAAGTAAACAGTGAAAAATATAATCATAGATTCATGTAAAGTTTTTACCAGTATAAGCCAGGGTTAACCAAATATTTTAAATATTGGAGAATTTTTGCATATGTAAATAAATATAAATATAAGTCCTCCTAGTGTTTGAACCTACTGATCTTTTTGAGTTTTTCTGTTTAAAAGCTATAGAGCAAATACTTAGGTTTTTCATTTGCTAGATCGTACATTTTCATGAATCAACCTGAACTTTTCCTGATGAAGTGGAAAATTTACCTCTATGCTTGTGTTTTTCTTAAATTTATTTTTATTGTTGAAAGTATTACAGATGTCCCCTTTTTTATTGTTTTTTATTCCCACTGACCCCTCCACCCCTCTATGCTTGTTTTAAGTACAACTTACCCATGGGTCACATGAGTTTAATGCATTTTTGAACCTGTTCATGCAGCCATTCTGTAATGACTGGACTCCTATTATTTCACTACTAGCAGACCACAGGAAGAGCGCTATTGCCGTGAGCATGCTTACTTCATCAGGCATAGGCATGGAATCCTCTGAAACAGATGAATAATGAAATATAGAAAAATATGAAAAGAAAGCAATGTGCTGTTTCTCAAATGTTTTGGAATTTCCATCTTGAACAATAACCTCTCTCCCCAACAACATTTATAGCAGTGTGTGCCTTAATTCTAATATAGTCCAGAAATAACTTTATGAGTACAACTCATCTATTATTGAGGAAATAGTGGATATTTTATTAGAAGTTCTACATTTAAGTCCTTTTTCCTGGTTTTTCTGGATGGTACAATAGTGATTGAAAAAAATTCAGGCATAAATCCTAAGAAGAACTCTAATAGGAAAAGCTTATTTACATATGAAAGATAACATGAAAATATAAAATTATTTAAAAGTCATTTAACTTTTTTTTCAGTTTAGATTAATCAAACATTTCCAAACCTCTCTCCTTCCGACAAAGTAAATGATTCTGATAAGATATTCTGAAAAATTTAAAAATCCAGAGTAGACTTTTCTTAGTGGTATCACCTTCCTATAAATTCTACACAACCATAAACAAAAAAATCTTGCACAATTTCCTAAAGACATTATTACTCTTAGAATTTTAAAGAATTTCTTACTATTTCAATAATTTATTCAGGAATAAATATAACTGAATAAAAATATAGTAAGTAATTAAAAATACAGGAACTATGTCTTGTTATTCTAAAGAACAATACTACTAAACATCCTATATAATAAAAGAGTAATATGCAAATTGACCCTAATGGTAGAACGACCCAAATGACCGCTGGACCAGTCACTAAGAGGCGCACTGACCACCTCTTGGTTCCTTTCCCCAGCCAGCAGGCTTTAATTGCCTGATGGTCACCCATGGCAGGCGCAGGGCTGGCTAGCGGGTGGGAACAGCCAACCTCCTGGTCCCTTCCCCTGGCTGTCAGGCACTGATCTCCTGATGGTGAATGGGGATCTGGGGGTGGATGGCGGCAGGGGGTGGAGCTGGCTTCAGGCAGCTGGGGGAGATGGCCCTGATCACAAGCCAGGCCTAGAGACTGTTCCTGCACACGAACTTTGTGCGCTGAGCCTCTAGTAAAAAATAAGAAGTGTAAACTATTTTGTTATCACCATTTCTTCCACAGCTGAACTTACCAACATTCTATATATGTGAATTTGGGTTAAATGGGCAACTGCTAATAAGCAACCATAATTTTTATCAGAATTATGAATGTATACATTTGACATGCTAACATTATTTCATAATGAGCATACAATACAATAGTTGAGAAGTTCACTAACTTAATATAAAGAAAAAAAGGAATGTAAAATTCAAAGGATTCAGCCAATTTACAATAACCTTAGCAATAAATGTTAAGAACCTGAGAACTCTAGAGTTGGAATATTACTCTAGGTGAAATGAGAAAAATATATAACTCAGAGTTTGGAACACTGCAAGCAATTTTTTCTTTATCAGCAAAGTATCGTTTTGTTTTTAAATTGTAACTCGAGTAACAGGGATAATACAAGATGAGCCTGCTATATCTTTGAGCCAGAAAGTAAGGAAGTGCTTAGGAAATAATAAGGTCATGTCACACCTCCCAACATGGATTTAAGTTCTAAGACAAGGACATTTAGAGTCAATATCTAGAAAAGGGTACAAAAGTTCATATCTGAAAGATGTGACTAAAACACCTCTCTGAGCTGATTCAGTGTTATACAGTACTTTTCTCACAAGCACATTCAATTAATTAATTATGAGGAAACAGATAGGCTATAGATTAAAATGTTTAAGTCTGATTAGGTTACCTGGCTGTGAATATTCCAAAATGCATGCAAGAGTGCTACGAATGAGCGCTGTCCACTGTTTTTGAGTATCCTCAGTTTTGGCCATTGAAAGTGTCACGATATTTTTAATCCCTTGAAGAGCTGCACTAACTGGTGGAGGAACCTGATTATCTGCAGACTTTATTGCTGTGTCTTTCAATATTCTTGCAATTAAAAACAGAATTGTGGGAAGGATTGTCATACATCCTGAAATGAAAACAATCAGGTTACTCTATCACTATTTCAGTTCCCATATTATAATTGTTTCAATTTTTTATACTTTTTACAATTGATTGTGGTTTAATATTACTTCTTTTCCTTGTCTCTATTCAAAATTTATTGATTATTACTATAGTTCAATGTTTCAAACGAGAACAGCAAAAGTAGGCGCTCTCCTTCCAAGGAGCACACCTGTGCCTTTCCCTTTCCCTTCCCCCTCCTACCCCCACCTCCCAGGCACCTTACCATTAGCTTTCACACTCCCAAGCTCCAAGGGCCCTTCCTTTAACTCTATATCTTGTTTCTTAAGCCCATTTCTTCTGGG